AGGTCAGGAAGCGCCAGGTGCGGCCTAGACAGGGAGAGGCGCGGGTGAGAGAGAGGGGCCTCTGGGCCTGCGCAGTCTGGGGGTCGGGGCCGGTGGGGGGTGTCGCCAGGACCCCGGAGACGGCGGGGCACGGGAGGGAAAGAGAACGCAAGGGCAGGATCAGACAGACACGGGGTCGGACAGCCACGGGGCCAGGCCCAGCCCCACTCACCTCCAGCCCCTCCGTGGTCTCCCTTGGCTGCGCTGGCCAAGCCCCGGCTCAAGGACCTCAGAGGCAGAGCCATGGCCGGGAGAGAAACTGGGATCAACCGCACTGTCCTTTCACTCTCCTTCGCTGAGGCCTAGGTTCTCCTCCCCTCTGTTTGGACCAATCACCTGTTGAGTCTGGAACATGGGTGGCTATTTTTAGGGGTTTTCTATATTTAAAATGGGGCCTGACTGGTGTGATGTCCTCTCCAGACAGCTGCTGTCCTGTGCCTCTTATTTTGGCAAGGGAACGTTTAAAGTACAATATGCCATTTCTTTCTTTTTTTCTGTAAAAAATAATTGTGGGGAACTATTTTGTTCAACAGGTTATTCCCTGTGGCTGGCATATAGTCCCTTAATAAATATTTGTAGAATGAATTAAGTGTCTTTTTGAGTCTGTTTTTTAAGCTGTAAAATGTATAATAATTTGTACTTTTTATGATTCTTATGAAATTTAAGTAAAGTAACATAGTAATGTGCCAGCCTAGAAGCGGGAAGTAACTGTAGTTCAGTATATGTATTAGTTACAGTTCTTTGCAGAGAACGGAACTCATTTTCACTAATTTTGTTTTATTTTTTAATTTAATTTATTTAATTTTAAAGATGTAGGGTACAATTCAGGATTAGGTATACAAGTGGTCACCATATAGGTAAAGTTTGGGCCTTCCTTTGGCCCCCACTTTGCTTGGGTTGAGATCAGGGTACCCTTATTGATGTTATGTGTCCCCTCCACACCCCTGGCAGTGTCCCACTACTGCCAATCCCTTTCTCTGCTTAGGAGTGAGAACGTGCGGTATTCACTTCTTTGCTTCTGTGATAGATCACTGAGAATTATAGACTCTAAATCCATCCAAGTTGCTGTGAAGTCCATGATTTTGGCTTTCCTTATGGCTGCATAATATTTCATTGCGTTTTCACTAATTTTAAAAGATAAGCAATTGAGAATCTTAGGTGACTCGTAGTTTGTCTGGTATGGTGGTCAGAGAGGGCTTCAGTCTGCACAGCCAGAAACAAACCATTCTGTGGGTCAGCTGCTGAGGTGCCACCATAGCTCACACTGCAGGAATCTGGATGCCAAAAACTTCATTCATTATCATAATACTATAAGAAAGGAATTGGCAATAGTGGGAAACCTCCAGGTGAGAGGGGGGTGGAATCGGCAGTAGTGGGAAACTGCCAGGGGAGGTGGGGAGGCATACCTCATCAACAAGGGTATCTGTATAATGAACATTTGTATACCTAACCCTGAATTGTACCCCACATCTTTAAAATAAAAAAATTTTTAAAAAAGATTTTTTCCCCCAGGAAGCTGAAACGCACAGGGAAAAACAAAACAAAACAAAACAAAACTTCATTAATGCTACCCTAGAATGCCAGTGCCAGGGCAGCATTCATCTCTTGAAAATGGATTTTTCATGAAGTTTGTATCTTTGGGTCTTTTTTTTTTTTTGGAGACGGGATCACTCTGTCACCCAGGCTGGAGTGCAGTGGCATGATCATGGTTCACTGCAGCCTCAGCTTCCTGGGTTCAGGTGATCCGCCTGCCTCAGCCTCTTAAGTAACTGGGACTACAGGTATGTACCATCATGCCCAGCTAATTTTTGTACTTTTTATAGAGATGAAGTCTTACCATGTTGCTCAGGCTGGTCTTGAACTCCTGGGCTCAAGTGATCCTCCCACCTTGGCCTCCCAAAGTGCTGGTATTACAGGTGTGAGCCTATCCTTAGGTCACTCTCTTCTGAATCAAAGAATCATGTGGGTGTACCAATTGGCAACACCTAGGTGCCCTAGCTGCAAGAAGGGCTGGGAAATTGAGTTCTGGCTTCTGTCTTAGGAAGGCAGGAATTGTATTGTGGGGAAAAAATCCCCAAGTATAGGAAGAATTTTCAAAAGATGCAGGGCAGCCTCAGACCCGACAAATGCCTTCTGCAAAGTATGCTATTTCAGTCTGAAAAATATGACTACTTGGAGGAGAAAGAAGAAAGCCTAGACAGGTCTGCATAAACTCTATATCAAAGCGGGTCGCTAGAAAGCTACAAGATTGGGCAGGGTTGACATCTGCTTTGCTCACTGTTCTATCCTCAGCATCTGACATGAACCTTGACATGATGTAAGTGCTCTAAAAATATGTATTTATACATGTACCCTGTAAAGCTATTGAAATAAAATGAAAAAAAGAAAAGTAAAAAAATGTATTCAATGAATGCTTGAGCCATGTTAACCCTATAGAAATGTCTTTTCAGAACTACAAACAGGATGCTTCCAGCTTTGATAAGTGTTGATGTACCTGATATGAATGTAATATGCAAAATGAAAAGCAATTATATATATATAATATATATATAAATATATATAATCTGACTATATAAAAGAAAAATGAAGAAGATAATGTTTTCAAAAAAGGGCTCCATACCTGTTTCTACAGTTGATAATAAGCTGAACACCAGCTTTCACCTAACTTTATTAAGCTGCTGCTGCTGCTTTTTTTTTTTAATAACCTTGTTGAACCGTCAAATATTAAACAGTGTTGCTAAATTACTCCTGAGCTCTCACTGAGCTATAACGAAATTATTCCTACAGTTGCTTTTTCCCAGTTGGGCTTTGGAATTGCTGTCAAGAAGAAAGAGCCTTCTTCTAGTTAAAGTTACCTGGCGTCCCCTTCCACGTATTGTCTGCTTCCTGCTTATATATGACAATGGCTCCTGGAGAAAACAAAAATGAAGATGGGCATTTTTACTTGAACAGGCTCAAGGCTCCATTTCTCCCCTAACTAGCCCCTCAGTTTTGCTGGTCATTGCCAAACAATTCCCATCCCCTTGTTCTCAGCTTGGAAGCTCCACAAAGAGCTTTTCTTGTTAGGACTTGGTGAATGCCCTGAGAGCTGCTACCAATCTCTGCTATCACCATCGTGTGATGCACTTGCCCAAGTACCAGAGACGTATGTAGTCTGTGTTTTTTTTTTTTTTTTGAGTTTAAGTCTCACTCCATCGCCCAGGCTGGAGTGCAGTGGCACACTCATGGCCACCCCAGCGTCGACCTGCTGGGCTCCGGCGATCCTTC